AGGGGAAGGGGCCCCGAAAATGCATGAGCACCCCCAAGAATTTTCGAGCCGGACCGACGTTGGTCAGGCTCAGAATCGTGTTCGGATGCTTGATTCTTGTTGATTCAGCTGAAAATAATAGGATATGTTCAAGGAGGAACTCTCTGCGTTCAGCATCAACCGAGATATCGCGCTTTGAAAAATTCGGCTGATGACTTCATCCACCGCGGTTGTGACACCCTTGCTTTCTTCCACCTTGCTTTTTTCAGTCAGGAACATACACATTTCCATTGGTTTCTCAACGTCGAACTCTGACGTCATACAGTCAACATTTTTCCGCGCTCTCTATCCTCTCCCACCTCCTCCTCCTCCCCCCCCCCCCCCCCCCCCCCCCCCCCCCCCCCCCCCCCCCCCCCCCCCCCCCCCCCCCCCCCCCNTTTTTTTTTTTTTTTTTTTTTTTTTTTTTTTTTTTTTTTTTTTTTTTTTATAAAAGCCATTCCGAAAATTAGCCCAATAGTTAGGTCCTTTCTGCCAAACTCACAATCAGTCACTTCAGTATAGATGTATGAAATTTTTCACAGTTCGATCAATCTTGTAAGGCTTTAATACAGGATAATATAGACAGGATACATGGTATTTAAGTGTTGTTTTCTTCTTTTTCAAGGATATGCAAAATAATCAAATTTATTAAAATCCGTCCTTCGCTTTACTTGACCTATTTTTCATTAATATAATAAGCTCTTGGAGGTCCTAAATTTTCATTTTTTGTCACAGATCGTTCTACCGGGCCGAATTCTCCGATTTTTGCGGCATTCTATTTGTGATGGTTTTTTAATGAGCCCGATCTCTTTAGATTTCGGAAATATGGCCCAGGTGTCTTTATATACCGTGATGAAGTTGTGAATTCGTTCGATCTAAGGATTTATGGGGCCGATTTTAATGATTTTTGAGGCTAACGCGCTAACGACAGGAGATATTCCCTAAATGAGCCCGTTATATCAAAATTATTTATGGGGGCCCGCGAAGCGAGCTTTAAAGAGCGCTAAACGCCCTGTGGTTCATAGAATAAAAATATAAGAACTGGGTGACTCAAAACAAATAATGAATAAAGATGTTGGCCTCAAATTCAAGTTTCCCATTCAAGAAGAATGAAGGAACAGAACCAGTTTGACATTGTCTCAATCCTTTTTTCCCTCGTTTTCTTTTCATTCATCTTAATTTTGAAATAGAGAGGCGGACCTTGATAAATCGACAAAAATTCGAACGAGAGTTTAAGATTCAGTTCATTATATGGTTGCGCAACTTGAGCGGCAAAGACGTCGTTTTAACTCAATCTTGTCACTTGCTCAACATGGGCATTTCTGCGTTGGTCCTTTTTCCTTTTATTTGTTTCCCCTGTAACTTAACACGTTGACCGAAACTGATTTTATAGCCCGCAGGTATAAGATTCATGATTTTCCTAGCAAAATTAACCGTTTCCCTTGGAATGAACATACAATTACACTGTCGTTCATGTTTCGTCCAAAAATATGTATTTTTCTCGAGAATTTATTGAAACTGGGGGAAAATTGTTTCCTTTTGGAAGCGTTGCCCGTTTTTTTGGTTCTTCGCTGAATGCAGTTCACATCTGCCTGCAATTTCGCACCTCTGCAATGATTCCGTAAGACAACACCGCATAGTCTGGTGCCAAAATTTCGACTGCCAGACGGTATCGCCCTCCCTGGCAGCGTTGTCTCATCTTTATTTTCCCCCCGTTTCGATGAATTCTAACGTGATCGGTGCGGTGGCAACTTTTTGCACTATGACCGTTGCTCTAGCAATAAATACTTCAGATCTTGCAGCTAGCAGACAACGCCTGTTGCGAGTAGACTTGACAGTTGCGTTCAACGTTCTCTGCTCCCTCGATGGAGGGTAGGAGAAAGATAAGGGGTGGCCATCGGTCGTTCGATTCTTTGCCATGTTGCCATTTTAACGAGCAGTCGTCCAAATATTTTCATTAAATTCTAATGTCTATTGTTGAATGTTAAGCTAAATCATATATTTGAATACTCACACAGAAAAATAGAAAGTGTTCTGCTAAATCATATATTTGAATACTCACACAGAAAAATAGAAAGTGTTCTATCACAATTTTAGAGAATTGAAAGTTCTCAAAACCAAAATAGATCCTCCCCCCCTCTCCGTCTTGGTTATAGTTAGTAAGCACCATTCGACTCAAGCGATATCACATATTAAAGTACCATTCTACAACTTGCCAACTTCTCTCTCGTATTTAAATTTTAATAGAAAAAACAACTAAATCGGCCCGAAACATTTATAAAGAAACAACTTAAAACGGGACTAAGGCCGCAAATAATAAACATAAAATAAAATAAAAAAACCCGGGACGTTTCGCAGGGATCACACCCGCATTTTCAACCGGCAAAAACAAGAAAATTATAAGAAGGACACTATGAGCCTCACCGTTGTTATTGCGAAACGTCCCAGGTTTTTTATTTTATTTTATGTTTATTATTTGCGGCCTTAGTCCCGTTTTAAGTTGTTTCTTTTTCATTTTTAATTAATGTATACAATCCTCTTTCCGGCAACAGACTTGCTGGGAAATCAAGTCCTTTCACATTTCGTGGAACTTTTTGAGATCTTTTCTCGCCTTACAAAGAGTACTTACTTTAACCAAATTATTTTATTAGTAAGTTTGCTTTTAAAAAAAAGTAAATCCATTTGAAATAAGATGTTTTGTAAAACACAGTAGTGGTATAATACCAATGGTATTATATTATAACTCTCTGTTATAAAGGAGAGCCGTTGATACGTTTAATGAACAGTAAAATAATGAAGTACGAATAAGGCCCAGTCCGTTTAACTGAGCGTCTATCATCAGGTTGGTTCGGTGGGAGGATTCAGTCACATTTATTGAAATTTCAGGTTTACGAACCGAAGTTTGGTTTGATAAACCGAATGGTTTAACACTTAGATGCCAAAGCTGGGTCAAACTAATCCTACCCTTGCTAAAAACACGTGATCCGGTAGTGTGGAGCCGGTGCACACAAGCCTTACATGTGGTGCTACAAGTACGACGTAAAAAATAATCAATATTCAATTGAAAAAAAGAAAAACATAGCGTGTAAGGGAATTCTGTTTGACAAGTTTTACCTTAGAAATCCCAAGCCGAGTCAAATTGACCCGACTGTCTCCTCTGCAAGAGATATGAGACCGGTACTTACGAGCTTTACATCAAGTTGAAAAACAAAAAGGAGAAAGATCTCGAGTATCAACGCAGCCGAAGATAGGAGGGTCTCGGTTTTTTAACTTTTCGCCCAAATCTGAGGGACAACTCGCTAGCAGCATAGCACGGAGCGTTGTTCGGCGCCATCGCGCCTTCAATTTTGCAGATGCAACACGGACATCCATCGAGTACGAATAGTTGTATCTCTGCGCCGTCGTCAATGCGCGTCCTTTCCCGCACGCTATTTTCACATTGTGTTGATTCCGTTTATCTTATTGTGGTGGTGCTTAAAAGGCTACGTGAGCAATACAACCTAACATAGGGAAGACGTAATCAGGCCTTGCTTGTTCAACTCTTCTCCCGAATTTTGAGTGTCATCTCACTGAGAGCGGAGCGTTGAGATTTTACGCCTCTCGCCATCGCACCTTTAACTTTGCTCATGCAGCATAGACTCCATAAAGCACCAACTTTTTGTATCTCTTCGTTAAGGTGTCTCTTACTCTCAAAATTTGAGAAATGTCAAAGTTAAGTTTGCTCCAAATGTGCTATGATATGTCCTAATCTGTAATCACATAAAGAAAAAAAACCCGTTTTTCTGGTCCTAAGGCCTCCATGGAATCACAGAAAAAAAAATTCCGACCGTAAAAGCCATAATAACGGACTATATAGACATACCTTTTATTGTTTATTAATTTATTTATTTATTTATCTATTTATTTATTTATCTATCTATTTATCCATCTATTTATTTAATTATTTTCGTACATTAAAGCCCCATTATTGGAGCTATGGCACAAGTCAAAGAACACTAGGAATTACAATATTCAATAATTAAAACTATAAATCATAATTGTAAAATGTCATTTTAAGTGGTGGTTGGTAGAATGCTATTCATCTGCTGAAGTCAGAAATTCGTTTATATCATAAAATGCGTTGGTTGAGAGGAGATTTCTAAGTAAATTGAAGAATTTCTTTACTTCACCATCGCGGAGTTGTTGTTTGATGCTCCAGGGCGAGGCATTTATAATTTGGATAGCCGCAAATTTGCAATCTCGTTCAGAATTTTCAGTCGAACTTTTATGTTTTTGATATCTCTATGCCTGCTGTTGTAATGATGAGACGGTAGAAGATCGGAGATCATAGCATCCGCGTCCCGGGCTCCGAGGCCGAAAGTTCCGGGCGTAGCACCCGGAGTAATCGAAGCCGAGGTTCCAGCACCCGGAAGTTCCGGCCTCTGAGCCCGGAACGGACGCTATGTCTGTATGGCCCGTGACTTTTTTCAGTGATGTGGAGGGACGTCATGTCCATACTCTCTCGATCATGTGGACGTATTTCTACCAAAGAGACCTATGTGGAGGTGAGAAATATGGGGTGTGCTCGTGGAAGCTGCATAAGAAGCAATGTAAAAGTGGGCGTGATTCCTTTTGAAGAATTGGAAAAGCGGGATTTTACATTCTATCAAACAGACCTGTGTGCCAACTGAATGCGGAACTCATGAGCCGTGGGCATGGCAAGAGAGCGTTGTGGACAGGGCTCATGAGTTAAACGGCGACGGCGGGGACGGTGTTGCTCCCTGGTACGGCTCCGTTGTTGCCGCTGACGTCACTGGCGCTTTATTATTTTCATTCACTCTTACGCAAAGAAAACTAACGAGCACACCCTATATTTCTCACTTGCACATAGGTCTGTTTGGTAGAAATACGTCCATGTTACTCTACTTGGGAGGGTGCTCTTGGAAGCTCTGGGTAAGTTTTTTTTTCTGGAAAGTGTTGAAAGGTGTGTTGATTTGTTGCAGGGACTGAAGATCCGGAAACAGCGGAGCACGGGCGACCTGGAAAAGCGGGGGACTTCCGGCGGAAGCATCCGGAGCACCGGTTCCAGCGCCTCGTGGGTCAGCACCGAGTCCTCTCATTCGGGAGTCACCGCCGGTTCTCTTCACACCGACTCCAACGCCAGCTTCGTCGTCGAGGTAATTCTTACAAATCCTCTATCTTCACGCTGCCCCGCCCGCAAACAGGGTGTCTACCGGGTCCCCGAAAGTCCATATGTCCCCGATTATCCCCGATATCCCCGAAAGTTCCCAATTTTCTTGTTCAGGTCGCCAAAAAATGACAAAAATCGTCCTAAACACCGGCATTTTCAAATATTCCCGCCAGCCGCGGCGGCGGGGTATAACTGGACTGAGTTAAGCAGAAAGGAACCAACCCACATTTTGGAAAAAATTGAGTTATGAGTGGTTTTGAACTCAACCACTTCTCTACTATCTATCGCCAAAAATTCAAAGTTTTTGTTGGAGCAAATTTTGCAGAAATTGAACTTGAAGATTAACTTTTACATTGAGTCTTATGCAGGAGCTAAACTATAAGCCTCTTCTTCTCGGTTCGATCCCGATGTGGCTTGGTTCCTTTCTGTTTAACTCCGTCCAACTATGAATGAAGAAACTGAAGTGTCGCTTGGTTTTTCGTGTGTTTTCGTCGGTTCAACATGACTTGTAAAATTAGTCGAATAAAATACCTACTCCTTTTAACGCTCTAACTAGCTCCCTTTCGCTTACTATTTCGGGGGGAAAAGTCCCTGATTTTCTTTAAAAAATCCCAGAAAGCCCCCAAGCAAAGAGCCCCTGGCAAAGAGCAGGGGTCTACTAGTCCGCAATTTCCGGAAATTCCGAAAAATGTACTGTTTCCTAAGGGCGGTCCGCAAGTACCGAAAAAGTGCGAAAATCGGCAAGAAGGTCCGGAATTTTTCCCTTCCCACCACGCGTGTTTTTTAATAAAGCCTGGAAAGTATGCAACCCCCTGCGCGTTGATTTCAGAGTAGTATTTGCATGCAAGATCGCGATTGTCCAGTCAGTTAATCTTCGAGCCACCGATGAAACTTTGTGTTTACGTCATTTTTGTCGCAATTCGAGCAAGCATTTCAAATTTTCGAAAGTCTTCGAATTTCTTCAGATGGAGCTACCGAAAGGTACTGAATTTTTCTGTTGAGGAGGTAGGTACCAAATTTTTTGGGAATGTGCTGAAAATGCTGAAATTGATCAGTTTTTCATTTCGGATCTTTGGGGAAGCAATATATAATATCGTGGGTGATTAGAAAAAAAGAGCATCGATCCATGAGTTAATAAAAATACAATAAACCAAGCTCAAGTCCAGGGTCATATTAATGTTTCGTCGAAAATGGGGTTGAAGTGTCCTCTTTTTCAGACTTAAGGTAAGTCCAAGATCTTGTATTTCATCCCTGGAAAGCGACCGCTGCGCTGACAGACTAGAGGATGTTCGAACGGACAGTTCGAAGAAAGACACAAAAGCTTCAAAGAACCCACAGTTTTTTCGATATCCTTCGAGTACTCCATCGCCGTCGCTGTCCGCGTCGTCTCAAGCAGGATGCTATGTATTGATAGATCTGCCATTTAAACCTATGGAAAATAATCGATAAACAATATAGGTATCGATAATAGTCGATTCTTTACCAAATTTTCAAGTAAAGAAAAATCGAGAATCGATCATTAACGCCTCGCCATGGATCGAAACCGTGCGTTGGAAACAAGTTCTCCTGGACGTCTCTTTTTCCTGCGTATCCCTCTCAACTTTCAAACTTGGAGATTATATTTGCGGCAAATACCCTCTTCTCACACTCCTCTCCTCCCCGCAACGCCCTCTCGATTGATATCATAGATAAATACGCAGCGAAACCCCAAGTTTTCCGCGAACCACTCGTAGAATCATATTACGAATCTCATGGCTGATATGTATGTACTGGGTTGATGTAATAAAGCTTATATATATGATGTCGCCATCGGTTCGAGAGCCACTTTGTCGAGAGGAGAGGGACGTGGAAAAATAATACCCTTTCTCGTAAGTAAATTAAATTTCCAGGAATAATTGTACCTCTATCTCTGTCTGATAGAGTCTATCATCGTCTTCGTTTCCAGGGGCGACCATTCGCATTCGACCTTAATTTACTAAGCCGCCACGTTATGATTATTCTTTTCCCTGTAAGTATAGATTTTTATCCTGCACGCTCCAACGAAATCTCGCATTTTCATCAAACCTCTATACTTGCAGGGCGTTCCAGGATTAACGGACAGTAGTTTGTCTTTCGATTCTTTAGGTCAAAATAAGACTTTTTCGTAGTGTAAAATGTTGTTCTGAAATTGCCTGTTTTTGGAGCTACGATCTTAAAAGTTTACTTCTCCTTCACAACCACATAAATTTGATTCTATTCATCCTCAATTGTACTTTTCGTTTGTGGGCTTCCAATTCGGAGTCTAACTCTTGCAGGGGGCTTAGAATTTTTATCTATAGTTTTTTTGCCACTCAGGGTCTATCTGAAATGATGATGGACTCAATTTAATCTGGAAACTAATTCCACCACTCGGACGAGTTAAGTCGATAAGAGCAAAATATAATAAGGTATAAATATAATAAAAATATAAACAAAGTATAAGAGGTCGGCTTCTTACGATTTAGTGGTTGTGGCGCTAGTTCTATGGTCGGAAGGTCCCGGGTTCGATTCCCGGTCAGGCGACCCGAGTTTGATGGTCTCAAACAATGTTTCCCTGGGACTGGTTCAGTAAGGATGGAGGGAGGATGGGGAGCAGGATTAGCCCTTGTGGGCTACTTGAAGTAGAAATAAAAAAAAAAAAAAAAAAAAAAAAAAAAAAAAAAAAATGCGAATTGCTTTAAGAGGGCTTCAAAAAATGAGCTATCGTTGATTTAAGTTTTTCAAAATTGCCCCTCTTAAAGGTATGGGGAAAATTGCAAGGATATAGAATGCCCCCACATCCTTGTCCATCGCAAATGACGCTCCTGCGAACCCGAAATTCCAATTCCTCGGAATTTCTTGAAAAATCAAACGACGCACGTTACTCAGTCCCACGGAAATAATTCCAAATTTCGGTTGAGGCCGCAATGAAGGTTACCTACGTTCAGCCGAAAGTCCCCCTCAATAGGCAAATTTTCGCGAGTGGATTTGGTTCAAGTTTATAACTTTCTGCCAACCTGTTGCAACAAAATATATATCTTCGTTACAACAAAACGAAATTCCCTCCGGGCGACGATGCGCCTACAACATTTAGTTTTCATGCTGGTAGCATTGACGACCGCATCCAAAATTCTCGACCCACCCCGGCAGGGCCGGATTTACCTACTTGCCGCCCCTTCTCATTCGTTTGGAAACATCGATACAAACCATCAAGTGAACGAGCCGGAAGAGGAGGGGTGCATAAGACGTGTTTACTCCTGTTGGGCACATTTTTTGTGAAAGCCCTGTCAACACTAGCAAAAGTTCACGGAACTTTGCGCGAAAATTAGTTCCGTTTTATCTCTGTGTAGACAAGGCCTTTCATTTATAAGAAATGAACGAAAAAATTATGAAAGAATGAACATGAATGTGGTTTAATGATTTTAATTTCCACCACCGCGCCAACCGCACTCGCACTGTATTTGGCGCAATGTGTGAAGTATCCCTCCAGTCTTGTAGGCGCCATGCGTTTCACGCCGACCGCTGCTGACCACTCTACGTTTGACGCAGTGCGTGAAGTATTCATGAAGTCTTGTAGGCGCTAATATGTGTTTTATGCTGACCGGCGCGCCGAGGGCTTCTCCTTTCCATCTCAAGTCCTCGTTATCATTGCTCTCTGCGCCGCGCCGCTCCAGGCCAAACTGCGTGTTTGGCTTCTCTCTCAACTCAACTAGTCTAATGAAAGGCGCTGTCTCTTGTGTCGCCGACAAACGAACAAATTAAAAATTACTATACATTAACTCTCAGGAAATGAGAGATTTTTTCGCCTTTTCTAGTTCCTAATTGTTTTTCTGAATCAGATTTTTATCTTGATACACACAGATATCTATGCACAGATAGGGAGCGAATACATTTTTGCAGCGTTGCCGTCATTGCAGCCCGAGAGTTCCCGATCAAAGCTTCGGTCTAAGTTTGTTAATAAAATGTAAGTTTTTTTAAAGAAAATTTGACATTATTTCTAGGACTCGGCTACACTCGGAATACTAATATATTGAGTGCTACTAGCTTTGAGACATTGTATTAGAATGTTGGCTGATTTTGGTTTGATTCTGTTTTGAGGACGAGCACCTGGACGCGAGCGTGACGGAGACGTACATGGGGGAGTGGAAGAACGACAAGCGGACGGGGTTCGGGATCAGCGAGCGCTCGGACGGACTCCGCTACGAGGGCGAGTGGTTCGGGAACAAGAAGTACGGCTACGGCGTGACGACCCTCCGCGACGGGACCAAGGAGGAGGGCAAGTACAAGAACAACGTCCTCATCACCTCGCACAAGAAGCGGCACCTCTTCCTCATCCGCTCGGCCAAGTTCCGCGAGCGCATCGACTCCGCCGTCAACGCCGCCCAACGAGCCTCCAAGATCGCCCTCCAGAAGGCCGACATCGCCATCTCCAGGTAAATCCATCATCGCCATCATTCCTCCACGCCTCCAGAAAAGCCTCCATCCCCCGATCCCAGACATAGAATAATAGCTGCCAGAAAGCTAACTGCCACACTGAGAAAAAACTATGGTTATAATTACGATATTAGTGGTGTTCAATATGCACTCTTAATTAGTAGTGGTCATAACCGATAATAGTGATATTTTTACTGGAACAATCGTAATTTTACAAGTGTGCGGCAGAAAAATTACCATTTAATGGTAAAAATATCTCTATTATTGGTCATGGCAACTACGAATTAAGAGTTTATATTGAGCACCACTAATATGGTAATCATAACCATAATTTTTTCTAAGTGCAGATCCTCCCGTAAGATCGCGTACAGCACTTTTTCCAAGCCGACTTTCCTCTTTTTCCCCGCAAAATTTGAAACCGTGGGCTGAGCGGGGGTCGCGGGGATTTCAAGAATCGGAGCAAAAATCACCGACTGCTGCCCTTCTGGTAGCTATTATTCTATGTCGCAGACCGAACGTGGAGCAAATGTCAAGGTACCGGAAAAGGGCTCCAAGTACCAAATGCCAATACATCTGGAAAGAGGAAAAATGTGAAGGCAAAACAGAAACGAGGGACCCTCAACTGGTATCTCGGCAATGCTGGAAGCTTTTGCTTTCGGGACTTGAACATTCAACTGTTGACCTACCTACTAGTTGGATGGGTAACAACGTGTTGGGAGTTTCTTTTTGCAAACAAACCAAAGTTTGAGGAACTTGTTCGCCTCATGACGTCACCCGAAGTTCATCATCCACCTAGTAGGTAAGATGACTGTTGCTCTAGAAGCCCTAGAATTGGATGTATTTCTATCAAACGGAACTAAGCGCCAAAGGGGGAGGGGAGGGAGAGGGGAGCTTGGATTGGCGGGTGTTGCGGAACGCGGTGCTCGTTCCGTCCCATGCTCGCAATGCTTTTCCATGGCGCTTAAATCCGTTTGACACAACGCGCTATCCGGGATTCTAAAATCCTCAAAAGGAACTCAAGTGGCGCTTAGTTATGTTTAACAGAAATACGTCCAATTGTCCGCAAGAAAGGGTCGAATCCCCGAAAGGGAAAGTCTCCCACCTTTCGCCTAGAGGCCAGTGTCTCTGAGGCAGAAGCACAGACTCATGGCAGAAAGCATTAACCTGTATAGCATAAACCGCTTTTGGCGAAGAAATTAAACTGTTACGCGCTCTCTTTTGCGAAGAAAATAGCTGAGCTCACCCTTTTCTGCTTAAGAAGTAGTGAGGCGCGCTCTTTCATGCGAGGGGAACGGTGAAGCGCGCAAGACATATTCAATATTTAGACAGCGACAGCAAGGTAAAGGCAACCTCGAAAAATGCGATGACTGCCTCCAAAAATGTGATTGCAAAGAACTTTCCGCACCCCTGAATATTCAACCCTGCATTCTGGAGGGTATGGATTCGATCGAAAAATATAAACGTGATTCGATCAACTCACGGCTTTTTCGATCGATTCATGGATTTGTCGATCAATCCACGGTTTTGTCGATTAATTCACGGCGTTCGACCGAATCACGTCGATCGATTCTTGTTTTTATTTTCTGGTCGATTCGTATCGGTCGAATCTATACGTTTTAAGAGGTGATTTAAGAATTGGCTAGCATAAATCTTAATAAATAAAGTGCCTGATAAAAGGGTTAAATTGAGTGGGTTGGAGTAATGGCGCTTCCCAACTTCGGATACCACATTACCAGGATTCCTTCTTCAATTATGTTCATTGGAAGTCAGCCATGCAACCTCTTACTGGTTGTCTTGGCTCCCCTGGCATTTGAGCAGGCCGTTAATATATCCTCTAAAAAATGTAAAAAATAGGGGTTAATAATAAGGTATAATACGTAGTTAAAGTAGGGCATCAAAATTAGGGTTGGTTCCTCATAAAAGAGTGGGTGCACCAAGTTTAAAAGCTACAAAAATCACCGCACAAGGCTTTATTTAACTCTAAAGCTGTTTAGTCGGTGCTTTAAATTTTTCCGGAGAATTTTCCGGGTTTTTTTTGTTCCCCTGCCCCTCACTAAAGCCGTTTAGTAGTGCTTTAAATTTTCTTGGAGAATTTATCGTTTGCATACCTAATGCAGTTCTAATAAACTCTTCATTAAGTAATATGTGCAAAAATGCACCTGTCAGTCGGCACAAAGCCTAGCTGTTGATTCATTGTAATTCCAGAGAATTCTGCCAAAATTGCCTTTCAAAAAGAGATTTCAATGGTTGTTCATTTTTAATTTCAGAATGTCGACAGCCCGAGGAAAAGCTGTGCAAGCAGATGCTGTAGCCGAGGTTGCTCGTGAAGATTATGCAATTGCAATTGCAACTGCACAACAATTTGCCCCCGATTTTGTTTCACCTGGTAACAAAAATCTCTTTTATGTCTCAGTTTCGCCTGAGTTTTAAACTAATTTTTATGAATCATTTAATCAGAACATCAGAGAAAAAATCAGCAGCAAAAATTATAGCTTTGATATCTTTTTGTGCTCTGCCCTGCACTCAGGACTTATTTAATCAGCTCCATAAGCACAGGGAGCAAGTTTTTGATTCTTTAAAGTTGGATTTCAGTCGTGAATTTTTCACAGAATATACTTTCAAACTAGTTTTAGTTGAGTTCATGAACACCTTAATTTTTCTCAAAAACTGCACTTTTTTGCCGTGTCCTCCATGTTCCTCATTTAATGACAGTGTTTGTGTGATTGAGAGCCAGCAAAATTTTAAGACTTGTTCTCACAGTTGTTGAGTAAGTTATGTTAAAAACTCGTTTAAAATGTAAAATTAAAAAATGGTTACTTTTTTGTTACAGGTTTAGAGAAAACAAAACTAAGGTACCAAGAAAACTATATAAAACCGATACTACCATCGGACAAGTCTATAGATAAAACCTCAGTGCCTAGTGGAATGGACCAATCCAACTCGAAACCATCCGTATCGATATCACCGCCCCAGCAAGCAAGAGCTACCCCTCCACCGTCTTCATTTAATACCAAAATACCTCCTAGTCAGCAGTATCCTCAGGCTAACTTTCAGCCTCAAAACCCCGCAGTATATCAGAACAAAAGCCCCCCTTCAAATCAGTATCAACAACCAATGCAACCACAGGTACTTCACTTACTTGATTCTTTTCTGCTATATTTTTCAGGCATTTTCAAAAATAATCTCCTCCCAAGTCGCATTGGGTTCTATTTTCTGTCTAACACTAATTTAGAAAGTATGTCTATTTTCTAGACAGAAAAATATAATATTTAGACAGGAAATGTAAAGAAAATAGATGTATAAAATAAGGGTAACAAAATTATTAAAAAAAACTTACATTTTCTGTCTATGTTCCAGACTTTAAATACAAGGAAAACAGACAATTTTGTTGTCTACATTCTGTGTTTTCACTATCTGTTTTCTGAATTTGAAATTTCTAAGAATTTGATAAAAAAAATATTCAGTTTTTCTCTATTTTCCATCAGGTTTTTGGATATGGTTTCTTAAGGAAATAGCCCTATCAATTTTCTGGACGGAAAATAGATCCATTATGTAGACAGGAAATAGACCTATTTTTTTGGTAAATAGTGACACTCACTTTAAATTTACTGTCTACTTTCCATAATGCTAGCTAATTTTCCTTTGTTTTCTAAATTTTTTTTATTATTATTAATTTTTTTTTTCTTCTTAAAATAAAATATTTTCATTTTGCTACTTGGTTTATCCATATTTTGATCCCCATCATTGGGAGCAGGAGAACTGACGTTAAAAACCGCAGATGTGCATTCCAAATAAAAACAACTTCTTTTACTGTAAGTAAATTTCATTGAAATTGGAATTGCCTCGAATTTCAAATGAACTCCAAGAAACAAACTATAAAAGGATAAGCATTTGAAAACGTTTAAATGCAGTAAAAGCTTGCTGAACTGAGCCTTTGTTCAAATAAACAATATCTTCAGTTAAAATTGTTTTGTTACCAAGACATTCTTGCACAGACTCACATAAGTCACATCTTTCAAGACAACTCTGTAATTATTGGAGCCCAAAAAAAAACTGCTTAAGTCAAGCAACTTTTTTCAAATTTTGACTGAGAGCACAACAATATCAAAAGCAAATTAAAAAGTAAAAAATGAAAATAGAAAAAAAAGTATTTATTATAATAGTCAGACTAGGTTGTCTGAGAGCATATGCAGTTTTAAACCTAGAGTAATTTCTTTGTGGGGATGAATAGGATTTCGAGATCCATTCAAAATTTTAATTGAGTTCAAAGATCATTAGTTGTAGAAAAAGTCAGAGTGAAATCTACTAAAACCTTCCATTCTGGAATTATTCTACCTCAACCAGACATTGAATTTTTCTAAAATGCTAGTGCCAATTCATACTTTTAAAGAATGTTTAATGAAAATTACAGGCACCGCAACAGAATGCTAGTCAGTATCAACAAAAGCAGCCGCAAAATCAAAACCAGTACAATCAACAAGCACAACAGCAACAGTCTACGAACGCATACTTGCAACGAAACACGAACCAGTTTTCTCAAAACTCATCACAACTCCCGAACAACCAATATCAAGGATCAACTACTCAATATGGTAACCCATCGAATCAGTATAATTCACCCTCAAATCAGTATGGTGCCTCAAGCCAGTATGGTGCATCTTCGAATCAGTATGAGTCGAACCAGTATCAGCCACAGAACCAATCTTCACTAAATCAGTATCAGCAGCATAATCCAACTCAGTATCAGCAGCATAATCCAACTCAGCATCAGCAACCCATTAGTCACCAAAATCAACAAAACTCAGTTCCACAGAACTACATGCCGCAAGGTTATGGGAATGGTCAGAGTTATGGTGGATACTCGCAGGACCCTCGGGTACCACAGCAGCGAATGCCATCGCAATATGATGGGGACAAGCAGATGGCGCCAAATCAGATATCTGCTGAGGAGAATCTTGGCCTCCATCAGCGCAGAGCATCAATTCGTAGAAATTCCAAGCCTTTATCGGGAGACCACCCTGGGTACCTATATCAACAGGTAAAGAACATTTTTATGAAGGATAGGTTGTTCGTCATCAAGCACATTACAGCTAATTTTTATTTTTTTATTAATCCTTCAATGTCTGATGTGTTCTCTTAAAATTGGGTGCTTCCTACGAGGGGGAAAAAACAGTAAATTTGATCCAGAATCAAAATTGAAGCCTCTTGCATCATTCGTGGTCATCAGGTGAAACTTTCTTTAAAACAATGTGCTAATTTAAAACTTCATAGATTGTCATCTCTAAAAGTGCACAAGTGCAAAGAACAAGAACTTTTCCATTGAAGTTTCAGAATCAAATTATTCTATAGATACTGAAAAATTTCCAAGGTCAGTCAGATCTATTTTTGTGAACTTTTCCCTCGAAACTTTGGAAATTTTTTGTAATTCTTTCATTCTATACTCACCCTCATTTTAAGTAGTTATTTAAATATGAAGCTTTTGGTCAGAATTTACCCTTTGAGTTTTGAATTATGAAGTAGGTTCTAAAAGAAAGATTTCAAATATACTTGAGTTTTAAAATGCTTTAATGCAGAAAACCAATCGGTATACATTTTGCAATTCGAAACCATCATTTCTAACTTATTTATCAAAGCACTTTTCAACTTGGAGAGACCAATGTCCCATATCGATGGTGTAAGTCGGCAGTCACATAACTCGGTTTGCGACGTCGTAGACTTCCTGTCATACTTTATTTTTTGGACTGAAAAATATTCAATGGCCATTCTTTAAAACTGCTGTGATTTTTCTTCTCTGTACGAAGAAAATTCTGCAAAACTTCAAGGAATGATGTCAATTTGTTCTCCTTTAAAAAAAAAACATAGAGGCGGAGATTTTCAGACACCGCGACCGAGATGTGATTGCTGACTTTTGCTGTCAATATGCGGCTTCTAAAAGGAGCCAGAAATTGTAGTTCCGAATTGCAATTTCTCTTTTCGTAAAAAATGGAAAGATTCCTTGGATAAAACAAAACATAGGTACTCTATGATATTAATTTTCTGCTTTATTCATGACAAATATTTTAATTTTATGACCAAAAAATCGTAATAAGCTAAAAAATAGTTTCTTACAAATAGATTGCACTTAGCAAAAAAGGAACCAGCGCAATTACAATGTTTTCAAAATCGTGCAACTGCTCCCTTTCTTTTGAGAATACTTTACACATGTATGGTATTAAAATTTACACTGTTATTTTCCCTTAAAAATATCAATTTTTTGGTGGGAAGCCAAAATTATTTGCTATTCTGGGAGATTTTTTTGATAATTATGAAGAAGCAGTATTTTTACAACACTGCAATTGCAGTGGTTCCTTTATGCTAGACGCAATCCAAATCTTTCATCTTTCTCAAATCTTTGTGAAATGCTCTGATGTCTGTTTTTGTGTTTTTTAACCTCAGATCCAAAACGATCGTTATGACCAATACAAACGACCACCGAGCAGAGACTCTAGTGTGGATCGCTACACTCGAGCAGCGAGTCGTCTAAGCGGATCGCGACAACCGTCGGTCGACAAACAGAAGTCTTTCGACTCAACGAGTGAGTCGCGGGAAGTGCGCGGAAACTCGGTAATGCGGGCAACAACGCCAGTCACTGGTAATGGCTCTGTGATGGGTGCAGGCACTGCAGCTGAGACAGCATTTAATTCCTCTGTCAAGTCGAAACCTCCGTTCGAGGATATCATTGTGCGGAAACGTAGTCTTGGCCAGGACATTGTCCCGTCACCTATGGGTCAACCGAAGAGGACCGAGTCTCTGTATACAAATCCACTAGTGCGAAAAGAAGCAGCAAAACCTGCGGTAAGTTCGATTTTAATTTCATTAATCACATAATGAACCACTCGACTATTCCTGCAGGTTTGTCCTAATTCATGCATTAGAGGTGTTGAGTACAGAAAAGGCATCTCTTGGTTGCCGTGTTTCAGTGTCTCCACTGCTAATTTATTTTATTTTGAAGAGGAAATAATGTGGCGAATTTCATGAAATTTTTAGTTTTCAGCATTGTAAAATCATAAAGAAAATTCAGTAAAAACTTTAACAAATTCCATGCATTTGCCTTAATCATAGTGGATGAAACGTTAAGGAAGATCCTAAGACACCGTAACCAAAAAATGCCATTTCTGCAACCAGCGCTTCATTTATAAATGCATACAGTGAAACTGCTGCAGTGCAAATCACTCAATTTGATTAATCAAAAAGTGGAATGCATCATGAGAATAAAAAAATAACAGCATTGAACAAATGAGTTCAGTGCAATTTCTAGCTCATTGAATTCCTTAATCTCAGATTTTAAATGCGGAACGAGTTTTATGACTCTCCTTAACCCACAGGTATAACGCGTAAGCTCCAAAAGTATGATTTGTCTTTCATTTTTTGATGCCATTCAATGTGTATTCATGATAAAATCACTGAAATCTGAAAATGTATTATCGATGTTCACCATCAGTGAAAACTGGAAACAATCAGGAAATTTTTTATAATCAGGAAAAATCAGCAATATCAATCATGGATTGGGAAATTATGAGTGTTTCAAACATTTGATTCAATCCATTGAATTTGTTGGTTTGTTAAATCAAACAAATATTAATTTATTCTTGCAAAAAGCAAGAAAATTCATTTAAAATATCAGGAAAATCTAAAATGAAACTTTATTAAACACTTTCGAACACCTCTGAAATCCCTGATCATTTATCAAAACCAAGGAACTTGAAGGATCTTTAAGAAAAGTGTATCAACCTTTGCCATTTATTTGCTGGCTAAATTTATATTCCTATGTAAAGTTTTCATTTCTTTTCATAGTGCTTGGTGAATTTATTTTAAAAGAAAAGAAATAATCCTGGTGACATTTTTGGAATAAAAAAGTATAAGTAAATAATTTTATAGCAACCTGTTCAAAGGAAAACCATTCATCAAAAACATGAAGTGTGCAAGTTGGAACTAAGCCAAGAAATCTGTTTAAATAAAGAGGAGACCAAAATCGTTTTGACTTCAAGACCCTGGTGGCAGTGACTGCCAATTGTTTTTTTGCCTAAGAAACCTTTGATTTCAAGTGGTATGAACTTTAAAATAAGAAAAGAAAAATCGATCGCAAAGAATGGAACGCCTTCTCCTTCTATCAATGTTCTTTGCTTTTAGCTGTAAAATTCTGGGCATTTTTAACTGAGCAATGGCATGAATTTTTATGCACTCTTGCAATGGACGTCAGCCAGGATTTACCTTGCTAATTAATAGCCTAGTACCCAGAGTTAGTGCCCTGTTTACACTGGAAAGACCTGTCTAAATGTAAAGTTTTTTTTTTTTTTTTTTTTTTTTTTTTTTTTTTTTTTTTTTTATGATTTCCAATTGGAGACTGTTGAAATTATAATTCATGATTAATGCTTAATGATTCATTCAGCCATGTCTGTTTAGTTTTTGTACAAATGTTTAATTTACATCTCACTTGCTACTTACAGTTTATCATCGTTGAGAACAATTTTTAGTGCCAGCTCTCTTCAATTTACGTACATAAATTTCCTTTAAGTTTTAAGTAAACTCGAGTAAAATTTCTCTTTGGATAATCTAAATATTTTAAGAATTATTCTGAAGAGTATTCCAACAGACTAGTATAAGAGTCACCTCCAGAGAGTATAAAAGTCAGGTATAAAATATTGTAAGTTTCATGAAAAATTACACCAGTAATGAATTAAACGATCAAGATGTTGAAATGCAAACAAAAATAGTATCTAGGTAGATATGAACAATAAACAATTAACATGTCAAAAGGTGGCAAGTTGAAGGTGGAAAAATTAATTTATATATGGGACACAACGAAAGAAGGCTTGCTGGGAATGTAGCTGCGGGCAGGGGGGAGAAATGAAGAGAAATAGATTTAAGAGAGGAGAGAATGAGGAAGTCTGGGCCAGAGGAGTGGGAGGTGAGACATGAAAATAGCCCGGCTCCGGCTTGGGATGAGAGCAGTGTGAGATTTTTGTCTCTTGTTCTAAAATTGTCAGTGAGTGGTCGTGGCTGTGTTGTGTGGTGAGGATGTTGTGGTCATCGCAAGAATATGACGAGGAAGAGGAGAACCTCCTCTTCAGTCCAGCACTGATGGCTCGCCGAGCCAGTGAGAGCTGGATTGACACACTACCCGTTGAGGTACCTGTCACCCTTCATTCCTCATACAGCCAGTTAATGGGCGCCAATCAAAGTTCACCACCAGACTCATGCCCCCTTTTCTTCTCTTAATTCCTCATTTTTCACTTCTTTTTCTTAGCAATTAATATTTTATCATTCATATATTTCGTTAAAAATAGTGTACCTCTTAGGTCAATATTGTAACTTACACGACTTAATCATCACTATATATTAAAAATAATTTTCCTTTTTATTAATTGAGAGATTTCTTAAATTTGGATTTTCATTTAGCTCATCCTCTTTTAAAATTACATCATGAACTTTGAATTTTTTCGCTGAGTTCCCCTTAAATTTTTGAATTTTTGACTTGTAAAATGTATTAAAGCTTCTCTCCCTAGTATCAGTCTCGCATATTACGTATTTGCAAAGAGAGTATAATCAAAGAAAATCTTTTGTGTTATTGCACCTTAATCTGTCAGACCTAGCCATGCATGTCCTTCCACAAAATTATGGCGGAAGAAATAAATATGCCCTGGATTTCTGTCTGTCCATATTAACTACCTATTTCTTCTAATTGTCCTTTCCAACGCAAACTGTCCCCTCAGCTCATAAATCAAATATGATGATTTAAATCAAAAGTAGGTCAGTTTAAACTATTCTAATATTTCCTCGAATCAACCTCTGACCGTTGTCCTTGTTTTCAACTTTTTCTTTCATTGTCTTACTTATGTCAAACTTTAACTTTTTCTTATTTCTTTTTCTCCTTCCTGGATAGTCTTTTGGTTTCCCTGAAACAGCGAGCATGAGCTTAGAAAAAAAATCAGGTGTTAGGGAAGGAATAGACAAACAACTTTCTGAAAACATTCAACTGTCTTGTGTGCTCATTACTTGTCACCGATTCCAAAACGTCTACTGAAGCCAGAGACAGAGGAGTGATGGGATATTTTCAGCTCCCCTTTCCTCAAGTCGTATTATCAGTTCTATACATGCTCTGTTATTTTTAGTCATAAATAAATAAGCGGCACATTAACCTCCATCTCCCATCATCTCTCATTTTTTTCCAGTGTGTTCTTTACATTTTTTTGCTATCCTACACATGACTTAAGTTGCCTCTTTTGTCAGCAATTTTGAATCCCATCTTGACTGCATTTCATAAAAAGGAACCAAAAAATTTTCGAAAAAATTTTTTTTTCCCAATGCAAGCAGCTATAAGAATTTTGCAGCATTAATTCTCTTAAAGAATATTTATCGATCAAATTTTATCCAAAATAATGTGTACTGAGCTTTTTTCACTTTTTTCTGACTGTTCATGAATTGATGAATATGATTGAATGAATTAATGAATTGTTCATGAATAATTTTTCAGGCTATTCCAACCACCTCTAGCTTACAACGAAAGAAAAGTTTACCGGACTTTCAGGGTCTGCCACAAGCAACAAGGCCGATACCTAGGGAGGAAGCTTCAATATTGAGTTCCGCAAGGAGAGAAGAAATCAGGAGGCAACAGGAGGAATCTGAGAGGCTTCGAGCAAACCCACTACTTTATCTTGTTAGTCCACATGTTAGGGTCAGTATGATTTGCAGCATCAATAATTGTTTTAATTCATTTAATTCTAATTTGAAAATTTAATGGGAAAAACGCCAATGCACTAATGAGTTGGTGGAAATTTATGAGCACCAAGTAACAGTAAGCCTTTTAAAACTTGCATTACATGAAACCTTAATGGTAAAAAGGAGAAAGAGATCTCAAAACTCTTCAAGGAAGTCTTAAAATGTGTATGGTAAGGTATCTTCTCCATTGATTTTTACATTAAAGTTGAGTGTAATAACAGAAAATGCAAGACATTGAATCGAAAAACGTCTAAAAAGAACTGATAAAACACTCTAGGAAATGCAATTTTTCCCTTCTTCTTTATGAAATTTAAATTATAGGCTTTTCAGTTTTGTACATGGTGTGAACTATTTTTAAAAAGAATGACAGCTCTCAAAATGTACACATTCCTCATATTCATCATAGTATCTCTATATTACTAAAATTTCACACTCATTTGAGTCAACTTGTTTTAGAATTATTGTCTCTGTATTCTTCAGAGAAGTTCTTGGCGGTTTTAATTATCTCTGCTCCTCCATGTTTGAATTTTTGATGGAAACTGAACAAAAAATAGTGGAGCCTCAGAGTATTTGAGTTGATCTTTTGGTTGATTTTCTGCACCTTAAAATTTTATATTAAAATGATTTTTGAATTTTTTATTTAAATAAAACATTGTCCCATTTATTTCTTGTCTTAGATAAATTTTGCTAACAATCGAGTGCAACTCAATTTTACTCTTTCTGATTTCAGGATTGGTTTTCGAGGCAGCAGTTATTAATTCTTGTCCTTTTCGTAAATATCTCCTTAGCAATAATATTCATCAAACTCCTCACGTAGTATCTGACTACACTTATCCAGAATTTTTTCCAATTTTTCTGATCCTACTTTTCCAGTTTTGACTGTAAATAAAAACCAACTGATTTTTGTTATTTAGGTACTAGTTTTAAGACCTGCCCAGAGATTAAAATCTGCTAAGATTTCAAGTTAGGAAAAAGTTTTTTTTTTAACTACTTTTCGGCCAAATTACTATACTTAAAAATATTTCAATTCATCGCAGTTTTTATAAAATTATGTACTGTAGTTCCTTCAATGAGCTCATGGTACACCATAAAAAAATTCTTTCTCTTGTGTTAAATTCTACTTGATTCAATTTCATAAGTCTAAAGCAATTGGAGGTAATTCGGTCATGCCTCAAAAAGATAGGTATTGCTGATTAAACAAGGTTTCATCCAGAATTTTTTTCTCAAGTCTATATTATGCTGGCTACCCTGGTTTTAAAATTGAACCTTTCTTCCTAACCTTCCATTTCAAAAAAATTTACCTAGAGCTATGAGCCCTCATTAGATGCATGAAAATTGCCAAAAGAAAAAGTAATTTAAGTAATGACATCCACCCCCCCCCCCCATTTATGTTTTATCTTTCAGAAAGGAAAAAAGGAAAAAAATGAATCTGAGTTCAATTTTGCTCTGAAGTGTGCACTCTTTTAATTCTGAATGACAGAGCAACTGTTGAAACTGCAATCTTGTCAGATTGCCTTGATTTTCTTAAATTTTTTATTTGTTTCCGTTTTTTCTTCTTAGGGGTCTGTCAAGTATTATGTAAGACTTTTAGAGGGTGAAAGGATCTGAGCTTTCCTTTCTGGGTCTTACAAGGAAACGGGAGTCAAGTCTAGTCTTATTTAGGTCTCTCATTTTTAAAAAAGATGATATTTTTCCACAAAAAAAATGTATTTTTTAAACTTTTTTTTGTCATTTTCTGAAATAATGGGAGGTGTCAGGCCAGCTTTAGTTAATTCAAGTGGGCGAGGGGTCGTTTCACGGGTGCCTTACCAAGAAGGAGGAGAGTGGTCAAAAAGTTGGCCGATATGCCGCACATAATACTTGAAGGGCCCATTAATTATATTCCTAGACCGTCAACATATCTACATATTTTCCCTCCAATTTTGTGCATCAGTGGTAAACTTTGCTGATATGTAGTTTCACAAGGGTTTCTCCTTCGATGAGGAAAATTTGTTTTTTTTTTTCCATTTGATACTACAAAATCATTAGTAGATACAAAACCCATAAAACTTTTTCCGAAATTCTGTAAATGTTCTTTCGTGGAGTTTGGCCTTAAATACCTGTTTAAATTATAAATCTGGATCCCTAACATTTTTTGAGTAGGTGGATGTATGTCTTGCCTTGTCAGTTAATTCTATTGAAGTCTTAGGAAAATGAGGTCTTTTACAATCTTGATTTGGCTTGTAGGTTTTCTGCCTGTAAGTGTTAAAATGAATTGGCACCTAAATCACATGCAAAGAGAAAATAAGTATTATTAGAATTGATAATTTTTGCAGGCAGTAGGGCCTTTTTGAATTGGTGAAAATATAATGATATATAAAATAACTTTTCTATGGCTCTGAACTGAAACGTAATATGATGATGCATTGAATTCCACTTCCTCACTTACCATTAAACATTTATTGCGATTGTAATAGTAAAGCAAACAGTCTGAATGCATCATATTTGGAATCGTAAATGATTGTTCTGACCTCAAAGAAGAGCAGTGCATTTCAACGATTGTAATCAACCTAACTATCTTCACATTTTATTTATAACTCGATGAGCATACCTAAAATCAAAATTTATGAAGAATCGCGAGGAAAAGTTGCAGCTGTGCTTTTCTAAAGGATGGTTGGAATTCAAAAGAAAAAAATGGCATGGTGAATGTATTTATCAAGGTAAAGAAGTGAAATTGCAATGTATTTGTGCTTTTTCAACTTTTCGAGCCTCAATATTAGAGAATATCTAAAAGGTCGCAAACAGTCAGTATTTATACATGGCAGTAACATGAAAACCTTCAACCATCAATCTACAAAAATATTCCTCCAGATATTTTTAGGGTCAAAATTCCATTTTCCCTGTCTGAAATCTTTGAAATGAGTACATATTTTAGGGACTTATGTTTAGCTTCTATTTTTTCTTTTAACTCCTCAAGTTTGAGGGACTTATTTTTAAATATAGATCAAGTTCTAACAACCGAAATGAGGGAAAACTGTGTTCAATAAAAATTTCAGTCACCGATGTTTCAAACAGAATCCAAACATAAATTTTCACTTTTTGCCTTAATTTTTACATTTGTATTTGTCTTATGGTAGCTTTTATACTCACCCGTGCAGACTTGGCTATTTTTTTTTATTTTTACTGTCTTCTTTCACCTTTTTTAAGTCCTTTGCCTCTCATGTTTTTAAGGAAAGAGAGAGCTCTATTTATATCATTTAATCAATGAGGAATCCCTTTACAGTTTTTCTAGGTGCCCATAATCAGTTCCAACTTTAGAATGATGGAATACGTCACTTACCATCGCGAATAAAAAAGAAGAAATTGATTCCCTAATTATGGAATCATGGACAAATCTTACACCACCCTCTAAAATGATTATGTTGACTTCATTTAGTCTTGGTATAATAAATTATTTTTATATTTTGCTAGAATGGACCAGTGGACAAGGTACGACTTTTTGACGCGTTTTGACACATGTTTCTTGACCGAAACTTCACGTAAAACACGATTCGCGCAACTAAAATTACTGAAATCAAATCCTGACTAAGATATGACTGTTTTTCAATGCATAAATTCAAACTCCTTGCTCATAAAAAAACAACAATCTTCTTGAGTTAAATTGCACATCAAACTTTACTGTGACAGTCTCTGCTGTTTGAAAATATGATGGTTTGAAACCTGAAACTCGGTGCTTAAGCTCAACTATCGCATGTTGTATACATTCTGAACAACACAGAGTGAGGAAGGAACATTACTTATCGAGAAGCCTACTGAAACCGTTCTAGTGCGCGATGTGACTCAAGTAGAGTATTGTTTTTCTCCTAACAGGGCAATTCAAATTTTTTATAATCAATGCCAAATGTAAACGTTGATATCTTAGTCAGGAGTTAACTCTCATAATTTTTGTTGCACAAATCGTCTTCTATGTGAAATTCTGATTAAGAGACATGTTTTAGAATGATTTAACTTGTACCTTGTCCACTGGTCCATTGCGGTGTTGGTTACCCGTAAAACCGAACAAAAATGTGAAAATTGTGCTTACAAAAATTTTTTATCCTTGTATTGCACTATCTGTATTGTAACATAAGACATTGGTCTTTTATTTTTGTACTTTGGTAGTATAAGGAGTTTGAAAACAGTCTCATACCTGTTTTTAAACATGGGAATAACATACAAAAGCTTGACTTTTTAAGGAACTAAATATCCTCTTTCAAATTTTAATAATATCCTTTTTCAAATTCTAAGTATAAAACGGAGACTATTTTTTTACATTTGTAATTGACTAATTTTTTTTATTTGTGTAACATTTCTCAGACTAGCTCCTATTGCATGAGAAGTGAATCAGCAAGACAAATATCTTATCTTGAGAATAAAAAATAATAAGTAGGATACCATCAATTGGACTTATTTATGCTGAAAGGAACTATGTTCCACGCAAACCTTATATTTTTAGTTCCTTTTAGCATAAGCACGTCCAATTAGAAAACAAAATAATGTTATCTCATAATACTTCCAAGGTTGGGTCTTAAGTGAGTTTTCCTGTTTATATCTCCATCTTTCTCTCTCTCTTCCTCCTCTTTTCAAAACTGATGTAAATTAACCCATTTGGGAAAATAGAAAGGAAAGAATATTTTTTTAATCATACCTACTTGCTCTATAGACAGTCAAAGAAATTTAAAATTGACTAACTGAATTTTGGAGGAAGTTATTTTAAATTGATGGACTTCCTCTTTGCAGGTGCCAAAAAAAAAGAATAAGTTGGGATTTACAAAAATCCTTTACCAACTCTCAGTTAGCCAGTTTTAAGTTTATTCAGTGTGTGGAAAACTGCAAGTACCTACAAAAAAAAACCCTGTTATGGATACGCTTTATGTTCATCAGTTTTGGAGGGGAGAAAAACAGAATACTCTCTAATTGTTGAGGCTCACGAGTATGAGTCACGTGGTACTGAATAATTATTACGTGCGTCAACTTCTAATATTTTCAACAAGCTTTTTTGTTATTTCTTTCTAATTATTTTAACTTTTCTACTTTGCAGTTTTGCATTTGAATAGTGTAAGATTTCAGAATCTTTAGTTTCAATTTTAGAGAATGCAACCCTGAATTAAATCAAATGTAAAGAAGTCACTCATCAACTATTTCATTAGCGTTAAGTCACATCCCTGCTTTTTGAGCAAACAAAAAACACTATTCGCAAAAGACCTAATTAAGTTTTCGAAATCAATATGGGTCAAAATTCCCTTTGACCCTAAAGATAAAAAAGGGAAAAACTAAAAAAAGAGGTCTGTCTCGGAAATTGAATTACAAAATTTTTCCCTCCTTTTCAATCTGTAAAAATCTAGCTAACAAAATTTTTTTAAGCTTTGCACTTGCTGTGTGTTAAATGACTTAAATTACCTTTTTTTTATATATTTTTAATCGTTATCTGGGGACTTTCATTTTTATAAAATTACACAATACCAAGTCATGCTCTTGATAATCTCTCATTAAGTGTAAATGCAATGGCAAATTTGCCAGGTTGTGTGATAAATGTGGATACTTTACATGGTTTTAAATGGGAAAAAGTGCTGGGATTTTCAGCATTATCTGGCAACAATGTGCAACAGTCAATTAATTGTCGAGCGAACAGGGCGATAGCACCAAATATATTCAGCACATTCGCTGAGAATTCTTTTTCTAACCAGTGATATATTCATGGAGTAACCAGGAAGAACAGAGAAATTTAATACATCGAAGGGAAGATGTGCCGAAAGGGTTTGGATAATGTCATTTTACCTTTTTTACTTCCGGGCCATGTAAGTTCTTCTAGTTGCATCTTGAATATGTGTCAATGTGTTTGGATTGGTAATACTCTCCATTGCCCGAGGAGTGGGTTGACTTAAAACAGAAAATTCACTGATTCCTTTACTGATATTTTTTTTTTATTTTTTTATATCGAGACAACCGTTTTCTTCCTATTTTTCTTCTGAAAATAGGAGCCTCCAAAAAATGCATGTCATCTAGTCAAGAAGTTATTAACTTCACCTTACACATGGAAGAAAAAGGGATGTGAGGGATTATTATTTTCAAAGAGGGATCAGTAATGTGACAAGGTCTTTTTTTTTTCTTTAGAAAATCAATGAGTCTCGATGATAGCTGTTGAATTTAATGATTCTTAGAAGCCCCTAAAATTTTGACTGCTATACTTGCTGCAAAGTTCAATGTGGGAAGAAACTTTTCTAAAACTTACTATGTTTACTTCTATCGCAAATCAACTTCATTACCTGAATACTCTGGCTTTAAGAAGGTTTTTTTTTTTTTTAAGTGTGTAATAAACTCCTCTGTTATACCTGGCTCATACAAACATTGGTAGATTTGATGAGAAAGAAATTGCCAAAAACGAGAGCTAGAATAAGTGGTTTGCTAAAAAGTGTAACAATCATTATAACAGAGTTAAAAGGGTAAAAAGAGTGTAAATGAGTTTTTTTTTATCACAAATTTCTTTTCATACTAAATTTGCGTCGAGATCTTAACTTGCATGCTCTGCCTTGATTTTTTTTCTGTCGTCGAACCTGTTTAAAAAGGAAATTAGGGCTTAAATATCAAATGATTTGATTCACAGATCTTACTTTGTATTAGGTAACTTGAAATGACAGGAGAGGCTGCTATAACCCAAGACTACAAATGCTTTTGACTGAATCAAATCAAACAGTCATTGTCTGGACTCATCCGTAAAATTTTGAAATTTTGATAATCACCTATTATAAATTCTCTCATGAAGTATGATGATTTCCTTTTGTAAATAATTTAACATGTATTTAGCATAAATCAAAGTATTATTCTTTTACCTTTTCTTACTTTCATTGTACAATCGCTTTGTATATACAGAAAAATTTTAAAGATGATTTCTTACTTGGTTTTTAAACTTAAGTATTCATTTCTTTTCTATTCTCTTTATTCGTACCTATCTTGTTTTTGTTTAAAATTTTATTCATGTTATTATGTGTAGTTGAATAAATTTTAAATTCATGTATGCTGGACCTTCCTAGGTTGTCATCATCTCTGGAGAATCCAGACGGCACTTGGCCTGCAATCAACATTCTCGCCTCAACTTGTGTCTCTTAGTCGTGAGATTATTAAATTGTTTAATTTTGAGATTTTAGGATTATTCTTTTCAAAAAGTATCTGAATTGAAACAGATAAATCACGTATTTAATAAGTAAACAGAAAGAAAGAGCATTTTATTAACCGCAGAAAATTCTAATTTAGTTCATTTGCTATGCATGTATTTTGGCTTTCACACAGACATGATTTGTGAAGTAAACGCTTCAAAGTAGAAAGAAATTCTTTCTGCTCATCTTTTTATAAGATAAAAGAAGCATTATGAATCATAATGTATTGGTTATGTGTAAAGAGAATGTTGTTGATTTTTAACTTTACTCTCTCTATATACATACCTTATGAATGACTCCTACGCAAGAATGTTGAACAAAGAAGGTGCTTGTGATTGGTTCAAATATTTTTCTTTTATATAACCAGAATTTTTCAGCACAAATTGAGAATAAATCACACTATCAAAATTGGCATTATTTAAAAGCCTCAAATCTGCGGAGTTCAAATGTAATTTTTTCAATGTTTTTCTGACTCCAGAGCTATGGGCAAAGAATCATTCAAAAATTTAAAAAATGATTTTTTTCTCAACATGCACAAACTGCACAGTCAATCCCCTTTAGGATTTGATTATATTTCAAAATCATTGACCTGCTCCTTGCTATTCAACGACATTCTTCATTTTAGTACAAATTATGAGAGAGAAAATAACCATTGCATAAATTATAGAGCAAGACCATGTACAAAAGAGAGGACAGAAGTTTTTAATTCTACATTTAAGTAATTGATTTCAATCCTTGTGTTACTGAAAAAGATACTGCTAGAATACTGAATCAAATTCATAGATCAAATTACGAATAATAATTATTATTTTTGGACCAACATCAATAGCTCCTAAATCATCCAAGAGAGAATTGGGCTTCAATGGCAACTGGAGAAATTCCTAACAAGGATTCCTGAAGATTCATTCAGTGCTAACGCGGACCACTCAATAAATGTGCCTAATTTTCTCCTGCAGATGTTTTTACAGTTTGTATCATTGCAGGACAGTGCTCGTCTCGACAATTGCAAGCATATCATTCTCCTACCACCGTCATTCATTGTTACTTTTATCTTGATATGGGAAAGTTTTAAAAATTTAGTTTATTCCGTTTTATTGTATAAGTTTCTTGTTATTTTCCCGTTCTTGATACTTGGCTTATTTTACCTGTCGTTATATTTCTCTTACCCATTTTTTAATCACATATTTTATTTTGTTGATGGCGTTATCGTTCATCTGTTAATTTTTCTAAGAATGTAGGTAGTGAACCGAGTGCCTTTATAATATTTAAAATTTAAATATTATTCGTGCGTTTTGTAAGTGCAAAAGTATTTTTATTCTTCTTTCAAACGTGATTTCAATATTTATTTAATTTTGTTAGCATCATGTCTGTAAAATTTTTACAGTAAATTTTTCCCCATTTTAAAATATTGTTTCAGATAAAACCAATGAGATACATGTAAGAAGGGGAAAAGCTGGGCTTATATGCATGCAAAATTGAATTGTTCTTGATTTTACCAGACTACAACTTTATTGGCCCAGATTATGTTTTTGTGTAAATAAATGTAAATTAGTCCGTTATGTTATGTGTTACAAATATTTTTATTCTTTTAATTCTACTTTGAACCAAAAAAGTCTGCTGATGTTGCTTTGTATGAAACTTAAAGAACGAGAAAAATCACTTGTGTCATGAGTGTAACTTTCCTATTCAAGTATGATGATCGTTAAATAAGTTCTTGCATCATGAAAGTTTAAAGTTCATCAGAAAAACCTTGATACTCTACATTTTTGACAATTATTTTAGGCGTTGGTCAAGTGGTTTCAAAGAACGTGGTATTTGAGGTGATTTCCAAATCTATCTAAAAAGTCATAACCATTATAAAATGAAAAAAATGATTGACATATGTTAAATGTAAAATGACAAAACTACACATCTCTATATCCATCACTGATTCACTGGCATATCATGTAATAATCAATCTAAAAGGCTGCTAGCAATAGGCTCCTTCTATCCATATATCTTTCGCGTTAAATGCATGCATGTAACTTATGGGGTATACGTTCCATCCCATAATGGTTTTCATTTGAAATAACATCACGTTGGTGTGATGAAAGAGAAGAAAATGCTAGGATGTCAAAATGGCATTGGTAGTGGAGCAAACGTAAGGAAGATGATGCTAGGATGTTTCGCAATAAACATTATAGTAGGGTCAGAAGAAAGATAAATACTCAAAGGACCGTCACCCAGTGCGCCAGACTGTTTTAACAATATGTCTTCTACACTACAACCATTGCTAGAGTTCTCCATTCGGTATTTCAATGAGTGTTAGCTAAAAAACTCTCACTGCCAGCCATCTTATGATGTCAAGTTAAAGAAAAGGAGGAAAGATTGATCCTACGTTTAACAGTCATGCTTTTATAGGATTATGTAGGGAACTAATGTCCGCATCATTTTATTTAATAATTTTGCCCTTTCCAAGATTCAGCTGCAACAATACATACAACTGACCGTGAACTGGACCGAGTTTAACAAAAATGCTAGGTGCACAGCATTGTTTTTCAGAAAAACATTATTTGGGGGAGTTTTGGATTCTGATAGTCATAAATAACTCCCGCTTAACATTTTGAAAAAAAACTATTTTAAACAAAAAGTTATTCATAGAACTTAGTCCTTAATCTCAAGTCTTGCACAGGAATAAAATTTCAAACCTCTTTTTCTAGGTTTTAACTTAGTGTATTTCTGGTAAGCTCGGTTCAACTACAATGCAGCTAATTAAAATTGTAAAAGGGAAAAAACTGAAAACAAAACTAACTAACAAGGAAAGAAAGAAAAAAGAAAGAAAGAAAGAAAAAGGCAGCCAAGTCATGAGGGACGACATTGAATAAGAAAGTAGGTAATACAACAATTAGACAAATGGTCAAATGTATTAAATTCATTCATGAAAAATACAGAGAATTGAAGATCCGATGCAAAAAGTTGAGAACTTCTGCTAAAAAATACATACATACATCTATACACATGCTATTTGGAAGCTTATACTTAAATTAGCAACTCTGCTTTGATACAATGAAGTTTGTACGCTATTTACTTACTTCTAACTCTTCTAAGGATCTACGGTCATCCCGTAAAAGGAATATTACATCATTGATCAATCAATTAATAATTTTATGATTATATAATGTTATTTGAAACAAATTCCTGAAAGTCAATCCTGCAATATTGTATGATGTATTAACATTCCAAATTTGAAGGGAAAATTCTGTGAAATAACTCGGGAAACGAGGCAGGAGAGAATCCTGTGTTTCATCCTCAGATTTGCCAGGTGCTTTCACCCGCACCCTTTTAGAGTTATTCCAGACTACTTCGAGATCAAATCTTATTTACATCCTGAGTTACATACTCCTAAGCATGACTTGACTTGCAGAGATTTCTAAACAATTTTTTCAACATTTGGAGATTAGCTACAAGGAAATAAAAACGGACAAGACATTTGTAGATTCACCTCCAACTAAAAAAATGCTGTTTCGATCTCCAAGGTCGGCAAAAGGGAATCAAGAAACTCTTTAGTGAAAACATTATTTGATTAGGAGAAAGGCCTATGGGTTGGCATATTTTATTCATAAAAAAGAAAACTTAATGAGGCCAAACAGTGTACAAAAAAACTATTTTTCCACCTTGAGATGAACTCAAAGGTTTATACGATAACTAACTACTGACCACATTTCAGACTCAATTTTTATTTTCTAGGCACTAAATCTGAAAAAGTTATGTATACAGTGGAGGTAGATAATTCATCCCCTCACAAAAATTACAAGCTAATAATAAAAAATGAGAAAAGAAATACATGACAAGTTAGTCCTTTTATAGGTAGGCTTAGCGGAGTCATATCGATTTTAAGTATGCTATCAAAGCAGTTCCATTAAGGAGATTAGACAGCCTTTTGGAGTTTCTTAAGCAAAAGCAAATTGGCTGTTGCTATGTATATCAGTTCTAGGTGACAAGCAACCGAACCGACAGACATTCAGTGCAATGATGCTTTGACTCAGAGCTCACGCAATTCCGTAAGAGCCACAGCCAATTCCGAAAGCGGCCTTATCAGAGTGTATTGGTATTTTGAAAAAAGACGAATCAGCAACTTGTGGACAAGACTTTGTTTGAACACTCCTTGGTGGCCTGGCTACGAGCAGGGCCAAGGCATACTTAAAATAACGGGTGTAGTTTCAATGACTCAGATGTAACTACATCTGTTCTCTGAAATACCATGGCTTTTTACTCCCATATCTCTTACCGGGGACACAAAATGGTAAGTCAAACACTTCTTTGAAAATATCCATGCTCACCAAGTCCCCTTCATTTTTGTTCTCAGAAATTGCCTTGTCTCCTTTTAAACCTCTAAATTTTAATACGGCATCCTCTGGAACAGGAAGTACCACACCGCACTCCCAATTCCGACAGTTGATTTTCACCTCACCCTTTTTCTTGTTGAAAAATACCTTTCCCCACGCTGATTCAGACAAATTGGCCGACCCAACATATATCCAGGCCACATCTTTGACTCTTCCAGTGTTAACATCCTCACGCTGCCCCCTCGCACAGAGTATCTTGTTGTGACTCAGAAGGCCTTCTCGCGTAGATCGATAGTCTCGGAAGCATGAGCGTGGGAAAGTTCCTGACTCGAACCAATTGCGCTGAAGACAGATCGTTCCAGCTCCTCCTGCAGTAGATGAGGACACTGTGTCATGGGTAGGGAAATAAACTCGCACACAGTCACGTATAGCCACTGGTTGAGGGATGCTGCTCTCTCTACGAGAGGAAGCAGGGGTAAAAAAATTTGATCGGATGGCTGAGACAGCAGTTTCACTTTTTGTAAATGGATCATTTCCTTGAGCAGCTGAGTGGACATTTGTAAGAAAATTATCATTAAGGAAACCGATTGAGGAGGCTGCATAATCAATTTCCAAAAGCTCAGTTTCCAGATGAAGGGTGCGGACTGCAGAGCTGAGACCAGGCAGTCCTGTACGCTGGGCATCCGTATCAAAGCTTGCACCCCCGACAGTGTGTACAAACGCCATAGAAACAGTCTCACTGAAATCAAAATTGAGGACTCCAGCTCGGACATCCGCGTCAAGACCTTGCTTCTCAAGAAAATACAGGAGTTCTTTACCAAAGGAAGTGAGATCATCAGGAGCATTTTTTGAGTTGTTGGGGAGGCGCGGGAGATCAATCATGAAGACACAGTTCTCCATTTCTCCAGTCTCACCCCAGTCGTAGCTGACGAGATTTGCAGTTGGGAGTGCGATTCTTAGTTTATCAGGGTGAAAAAGAAGCATTAGTTTTGAATGCATGCAATTAACTTGGCCTTCCATCGGCGGAAAGCAGAGACGAAGAAACATGTGCATCTCCTTAGCATTCTTCCGCATAGCTTCACGCTGAGCTGCTTCTTTACCTTGCATGACAAAGATGCATTTGGTATTCCCTCCGTTTGGTGGAATTTTCAGTTTTGAAAATACCCAGTTGGTGTCCCACTGAAAAGCAGACAGTAGAGCAGTTCTCAAGGTGTGGGCCTCAAGAACTTCTTCCAGCTTCACCTCGTTGCCTGTTTGTTTGTGTCCAAAAGCCCAGGTCTTTTTTATCACACCTTTCGGATATTTTAGAGATTCTGAAGAAATTCCTGTGATGGAACTAGAAGTTATTGAAGTTGGTACTGTTTCAACACTTTGTCTGATATCAGTTACTGATTCTTCCGGTTTGCGTTTGAGCCTTGCCAGACGTTCTTCTTCCATTGCTCTTCTGTCTAATCCTAGAAAGCCCATACCTGAATTGATGGAGGAGCCAGCCTTGGCGTTCTCCAAATTTTTTCTCCTGCTTTCCGATTCAGAGCGGCAGCTTTCAGCCAGCGACAAAGCTATGGCAGTTCTAAGATCCTCATCATTCTCATCAGATGAAGCCATCGTGTTAAGAGAGACAAATACAGGAGACCTGCAAAAGAGGAACATTAAATTGAATACTGAAAAGTACAGAAAAATATTGAAAATTACTGAAGAAAATACTGGTGGTTGAAATAGCAACAAAGGCCATCCAAAACTCAATAAAAACTGAGCTCATGGGTTCCCTCTCCTCACCAACGAAAACATAATCTGAAATTTTAAATAACTGCACTTTTTCTCAAAGTAATTTCTCAGTCTTGGTTACCTACAGTTAAATGAGTACTTCATTTTCAAGACATGAGGCAAAAAAGATACTAGCAACTGTGATACCTACTCAAAAAAAAAAAAAAAAAAAAAAAAAAAAATCACCTCGGAGAGTGTGAAAATATCTGCTGAAATTTCAAGACATAGGTAATTTCTGTTTCTGAGTGTAGATTTTGGATGGAAAAGAATTTTATTCCAATACTCAGTGCACAGGCAATTCATGCATTCATGCTCGACATGAATGCGATAAAGTTAAATTTGAGTTATAATTAAGTTTCAAGAGACTTTTTATTCTACAGTAGGCAAATCAGGGTAGAGCACTTAGGTATCTGACTGAAAAGAATTCGTTTGACCGGTCCTCACTTGCCATTCATTATACAGCAAATTCAGTGAAGATCTCTGACAATAGACATCTGAAAAAAGTATTCAAGACAATGGTCTTACCAGACTGTGGTGAGAAATTCTCATTAATATGAATGAAGTGATGGAGACTTGTTCAGGAGCCTGAAATCAAGGTGTGGGGATAATGAGGTATGAGTATGAGAACCTATAGCTTTTAGTAACCCAGCCATGTAGCTTCTTCATCAAGATAAAAGAATTCGCTAGAGACAGGATGCCCTGGAAAATAGAAAAAATAATGATAGAGATGTTGGTTAGAGAAGTTTTCTCTTATACTAGGTAACTATTGTATCCTGATCAGACGGATTTGACCGTCATAACTGAATCAGAGGTTGTATTATGCAACACTGAAACTTGACACTTTGCGAGTACATTCATCAAATTTATAGCTGTTCAGTAGTTCAGAGGTAGAAAATGGATTTCTACAGGCAACATGGAATGTATATCGAGAGTCTTTGCCAGATTCCAGTCTCCCCACCAATGCCCAAGCCCATATTATATTACTTTCCAACAATTTGTAGGTATTAAAATGCAGAATTGTTATTTGAAACTTCTATGCTGTTGCGAGGAAACATTTTAAGCAACGGGTCAGTTTCACTGGTCACAGAATCGTGTTTTGATACTTGATTCTTGCAGATTAACTAAAAGTAATAAGATCTGTCTAAACAGCAACTCTCTGCATTCTATATTGACCGAGATATCACACTTTGAAACATTGGGTTTATGGTGCAGCACCCGCCCTGGAGGTCTGTGATTTCTTTGAATTCTTCCACCTTACTTTCATCTGAGCTTCATATTGAGTAACCAGTGCAAATTTGTGTCTTATTGGCTGAAAGCAGCAAGGTGGAAGAGATCACCAGTGTCATTACCACATTGGATGATGTCATAAACCGAAGCACAATATCTCAGTTCCCAAGTAGCAGTGAATGCGATAAATAGCGATTTAATCGGTCGGTTAACGCGATTATGTAGGTGGCAATATATCGAGATATATTCACATTCAAAATTGCAAAATACGGCGATAAAATCGCTACACATCGCAATTTTTAGTTAGATAATATTGTGATCAATTTTCGTTCATAAAATCGAGATTAAATCACCATTTAATCACGATTTTTATTTAAAAAATATCGCAATAAATTGTCGAGCGATAAATGCGCAATTTTATTGCCATAAGATCGAGGATAATCCCTCAGATGTTGATGATCCTTGTGATTTTATCCCTGATAAAAACGCAATACATAGCGATTTTCTGTTGAGAAATTCTACTTGGGTTGAGAGTTGAGAGTTGCTGTTTGGACAGATCTTATTACTTTTAGTTAATCTGCAAGAATCAAGCATCAAAACACGATTCTGTGACCAGCGCAAGTGACTCATTAAATGTCGATGGGCTAACTCCCAAACCACATAGGTATCTCATTTGCTGGTTTTTCAAATCTTCACTCCCATTTTATTTTTTTACGGAGAATAAATCAAAGTTATTTCTTGAAGTTTTCACAGAATTTCTAACGCACTGAGGAGAAAAATTGCGAAAGTTTTTCAGCACTGATGTTGAGTAGTCTTCAATTCAACAGACAAAGTATGACAAGAGGTCTGCATCGTCGCAAACCGAGATACGAGGTTTAGAAGTTTCACCGTCGTTATGTTCATTGCTTTGTTTTTCAATGGAAACATAAAGTATATTGAATATCTGAGACATCATACACTGCAATTCAGGATTTTTGAGTGTACAAATCCTCCACTTACCTCAGCACGCATTGCAATCACAAGCTGATTTAAATTTTTGTAGGAATAACATCCGAAGACCTTGATTCCCTTTCCAAATTCTAAACATTTATCACTCAAATTGATCGAATGATGAAGTCTCTGGCTAAGGGAGTAAGTGAAAATAGTATTAGAGACCGGCAATGTTCAACATTTGAGAGAAATAAGAAGAATAAATGTAGTTAATTAAAGTTTGACTTACATGTGATAATCATACATTCTTTGGGTTTAAATACTTGCGAGAAACCACTCTGGGGTCTGGCAATGTGATATTGTGATTGCTGGATTTTGAAGTAGAAACTTGTGAAGAAAAGCCTTAGACTGACAGAATAAATCGCAGCAAGAAAAAAACAACTAGTTGGGAGATATTTAAAGATTTCAAAAGCTGCTGCAGATAGTTTTTAGAGGATTGAGCCACAAACCATAACAAACAAAAACACGTGACGTGCTTATCATGTCTTGGAGGCTCAGTACTACCATCTTCAGTCATAAAAAGACCAGATTCTACATGTACTTAGGGTACATATTGGAGCGCATTTGTAATACATCCTGAAGTATTAAAAACAGTTCCTACGATAATACAGTTTTTTTTCCTCGTCTGGAAGCAAATTTTTACCCTCTAAGTAGTAAATAGCTTTCTGCGAGAAAAGACATTTTCTTGAAGAGCGCGTAATAATTTTTTGAGCAGTTGGTGGCACTGATTTTACTTCAATAACGTGGTCTGATTGGCTGCTATTTTGCGGTTCTGAAAAAGCGCGGGAAAAATATATGGCATCAGAACCGTAAAGCAAATCGACGGTGTAAGTCGGCAATCACATAGGTAACTCGTTTGCGGTGTTTGAAAATCTCCGCCTCTATGTTACTTTTTTAAAGGAGAACAAATTGACATTATTCCTTGAAGTTTTTGCAGAATTTTCCTCTCACAGAGAGGAAAAATCATGGCAGTTTTCAAGAATTACCCTTGAGTAGTTTTCCGTTAAAAAAATAAAGTATAACAAGAAGTCTGCGACGTCGCAAACCGAGTTATGTGATTGCCGACTAACACTGTCGAAATATAAAATATATTCTCCTCCGATATATTTTATATTTGCTTTACGGTGCCGCGACGCCATAAAAATGCTGTAATTAAGGATTATGCCATCGGAGTCCAGTTCTCAAGTCAAAATGAAGTCCAACTGGACTTCGTTTTTCAATTAAAGAACCAAGAGCATTTCAATGTTGCTAAAATCGGGCAACTTTTTTTACCTTGCAAATATAAATTGGACGTATTTCTACGAAACAGAACTATGTGCGGGTGGGAAATATGGGGTGTGCTCGTCAGTGGAGGGCCGTAAGAATAAAAAACCGCCGTGGAAAATATTAAGCGCCTAGTGACGTCTCGGGTCTCGGGTCTCGGGTCTCGGGTCTCGGGTCTCGGGTCTCGGGTTTCGGGTCTCGGGAGCCGCGGTCGGGGCTCTTTAACTCATGAGCCCTGTCCACAACGCTCTTGTCACATGCCCACGGCACATGAGTGCCGCATTCAGTTTGCGTACAGTTCCGTTTGCTGAATTTAAAATCCCGCTTACCCAACTCACCAAACGGAACTACGCACACTTTCACATTGTTTCTTATCCGGCTCACCACGAGCACACCCCATCTTTCCCACCCGCACATAGTTCTGTTTGGTAGAAATACATCCAATTGATCATCTAAACAAATTTTATCTTCACTCCCGATAAACTATGAATTCAAGACGAAAATCGCCTTTATAAATTTAATTATTGTTTCCATGATTTCAGTTATTTTATACAAAGAATGTAAGTTGCACAATCCTAGCAACACTGGTCCTTTTTGCAAAATGCAATGCAACTATACCTCGCATACCAGGCACTGGAGGATTTTGCGCATGGTGTTTGAACTTTGATGAATTTCGTGTTGAAGCAGAAACTACGAGCCGGAGAATCAGGCTCGGACTGGCCATAAGGCCAATCTGCCATTTGCACATACGCCCCCTTGGTGCGCCGAAAACGCGCCCCTCTAGATAGCAAAATAAGAAGAGAAAAAATTACTACCAAGAATATGTGCGGAAAATTCCTTAAGTGAACGGAAGAAGAGAGTTAGGGGTAAAGAAAGGTGCTTTTACGCATGATGTGGTGAACAGAGGTCCAAGAACTACTTTCTGAAGCGTTAACACTTTTCTGTGAATTGTTCACCTTTTTCTTGACATGCAGGCGCTTTATTATCCCCCTCCTCCATTCGCTATCATAACTCCCCTTGAAGCGATAGTCGGTTTGATTTTTAGACATACGCACCCTCTATGTAGAGTACCTGCATTGAGAGAGTATGGCCACTAGGCCCAGGCCCCATGGAGAGGCTTAGGACCCAAAAATGGCGGTGCTTTGTTTTGGTTTTTGTGGATGGGAGGGGGGTCATTGCCAACTTTTGACGGTTATCACCAACCGCACTTGCTGCCAACCTTACTACATCTAAGATAATTTTTCTCAAAAATTGCACACGATTAGCCTTAAAAATATGTAAAGATGTCGCAATGGTGCATTTGAGTAAATTTCTCGTTACGATAAGCAAAGAAAACTACATTTTGAGTCATTTTGCGTTACATTAATTTATGGCGTCCGCCATTTTTGGGTCCTAAGGGCTCCATTTCGCCTAAGATGGCTGAGCCAATCAGAGGTGGTAACTTCAGTTGCCATACTCTCTCAATATAGGTACTCTACCTCTATGGACCTCTTGAGAGACCTTTAAACGTACTTTAAACGTTAAAAAAGAGGCCCGAACACATCTCTCCTACCTTCGGCTGTGTTACTCTCGTAGTGCTTGAAGCACCATAACAATAAGACAAACGCAAATAAACACAATATGGAAATAGAGGGAGGGAAAGGTAGAGTACCCATATAGACAGAGTATGGCCATTTCTGTTCCGGTTTTTCATTGGTCGCGAGCGAATAGGCTGACAGGATACTCTTAGAGCCGTAAATAAACAAACAAGATGGCTGTTATCAGCAAGCAAGATTGAGGTTATGAACATCTTACATCCTCCTGTGATAAAGGTGAAAGGCGATTGAACAATGTTTTCGTGATTGCGAGTGTGTGTGTGTCCCTTTGACGAGCCGCGGGTTGCCGCATCTGATCAATGAGTGGGAGAGAGATAGACGATAAAACGGCGGCTTGTCAAAGCCGAGTGGGCTCCTTTGACGTGCCGCATCTGAGCAATGAGTGCGAGAGAGAGAAAGGACAAAACAGCGTATGGACGAATCCAGGTTGAGCCTTAGTCTCCGTTTACGGCCGTTCTTTCCAGGGCTCATGGTCGGAAAGCACTCCGGTGTTTTTTCGGGGCACCCGGATTCGGGGTCGCCACTACCACCGCGGACCAAATTACGAGGCCCAGCCTGTATATTTGCGAGTGTTTGTGTGTCCCTTTGACGAGACGCGGGTTGCCGCATCTGATCAATGAGTGGGAGAGAGAAAGACGATAAAACGGCGGCTTTTCAAAGCCGAGTGTGCTCCTTTGACGTGCCGCATCTGAGCAATGAGTGCGAGAGAGAGAAAGGACAAAACAGCGTTTGGACCAATCCAAGTTCAGCCTTAGTCCCCGTTTACGGCCTTTCTTTCCAGGGCTCATGGTCGGAAAGCACTCCGGTGTTTTTTCGGGGCACCCGGATTCGGGCTCGCCACTACCACCGCGGACCAAATTACGAGGCCCAGCCTGTATTTTTGCGAGTGTTTGTGTGTCCCTTTGACGAGCCGCGGGTTGCCGCATCTGATCAATGAGTGGGAGCGAGATAGACGCGAAAACGGCGGCTTGTCAAAGCCGAGTGTGCTCCTTTGACTTGCCGCATCTGAGCAGTGAGTGCGAGAGAGAGAAAGGGCAAAACAGCGTATGAACCAATCCAAGTTGAGCCTTAGTCCCCGTTTACGGCCGTTCTTTCCAGGGCTCATGGTCGGAAAGCACTCCGGTGTTTTTTCGGGGCACCCGGATTCCGGCTCGCCACTACCACCGCGGACCAAATTACGAGGCCCAGCCTGTATTTTTGCGAGTGTGTGTGTGTTCCTTTGACGAGCCGCGGGTTGCCGCATCTGATCAATGAGTGGGAGAGAGATTGACGCGAAAACGGCGGCTTTTCAAAGCCGAGTGTGCTCCTTTGACGTGCCGTATCTGAGCAATGAGTGCGAGAGAGAGAAAGGACAAAACAGCGTATGGACCAATCCAAGTTGAGCCTTAGTCCCCGTTTACGGCCGTTCTTTCCAGGGCTCATGGTCGGAAAGCACGCCGGTGCTTTTTCGGGGCACCCAGATTCCGGCTCGCCACTACCACCGCGGACCAAATTACGACGCCCAGCCTGTATTTTTGCGAGTGTGTGTGTGTCCCTTTGACGAGCCGCGGGTTGCTGCATCTGATGAATGAGTGGGAGAGAGATAGACGCGAAAACGGCGGCTTGTCAAAGCCGAGTGTGCTCCTTTGACGTGCCGTATCTGAGCAATGAGTGGGAGAGAGAGAAAGGACAAAACAGCGTATGGACCAATCCAAGTTGAGCCTTAGTCCCCGTTTACGGCCGTTCTTTCCAGGGATCATGGTTGGAAAGCACTCCGGTGTTATTTCGGGGCACCCGGATTCGGGCTCGATTAATGCTCAGCTGCATGCTGTCAATGAGGTGTCGCGCGGATATGGGGAAAAAGTTAAAAAAGAGGCCAGAATACGAGTTTTCTGTTTTCGACTGTGTTGATACTCGTTCTTTTTATCCCAGGTTCTTGTCTGACTCTTTTTAGGATGGATTTGCAGACCCACGTCCTAAGCACGTGTAGGTGAACCGCAGCACTGGCTCGCTTTTTTGGAATTAGGTAACGGTGCTTGGATGCGTCTAGTGGCTTTAATTTTCCATGTTTTCTATAATTTCAGAAGCTTGTCGGTTACTTCAATACGTTCAATTTTGCAATTTTTACTCCGTACGATTAATAAACGTTGAACCTGAAAATAGCGTAAACTTGTGCCGCTTTGCCAAAATTTTCTGAACCCTTCTCCACGAAGGGGATGCCCCATCAGGAAATATCACATTACGACCCTTTAACCAGCCAAGGGTCTACGCCGTCAGATGCGAGCCAGTCCGACCCTGATGAATGAGGAGGAATTTCTTCGATGAAAATTTTCCATTTTATTATGTTTGTACTTCAAGGTTCAAGGTAGGTTTAAGTTTCTTTTTGCATTGCATGATAAAGCTAGGAGCGAGTGTCCAAAATACGTGTTTTTTCCTAAATACCTTAGAAATGGCTAAAAATAGTTTTTCGAAGTCCCAAACCTCTCCTAGTTTTTTTATTTTTTCAATGAGAACTAACCAGCAGCTTTCCTCAAAATTTTCGGTGGATATTTTTCACTAATTCGGAAATATTCCCGGAAGAACCCCTCTCCACGCAGGAGATGCCCTACCAGGAAATATCACATTGCGCCCCCTTAACCAGCCAAGGGTCTACGCCCTTTGATGCGAGCCAGTCCGACCCTGCGGAGAATATACTTGGTTTTACAAATTGAACAATTACCCTAGTAGCAATGGCACGGCTCTCAAGAGAAATTCTACAAAAGTTGTCTAAAAAATTTAACAAACTTGTAAATTTTAAGAGCTCGTAAAGTTTAAGTAAAAAAACTCTTAAAATAGGTACTCATTCTAGGAAAGCCTTTTGGGGAATTATTTTAAATAAAAAAATAGTGTTATTTTAATTAAAAGAAAACGTAAAATTCACGTAAATAACAACGAACTATTTCCTCAATTTTTATGGGCTGCAACTTTTCCTTTTAAACTTTTCTGTTCACCCTTTTTTCCCTCGTTTTTGCCCGAGGAAGTTTATAAAAAAATACGTAAATGTTACTTAAAATTTGTCTTCAATTTTATGTAACCCCCCCCCCCCCCGAAGTTCATAAAAAATGTACTTGAAATTTTTCTTCAATTTTATGTAAAAAAAGCCCCAAAAAAAGGGGGTTTCCTGTTACGAATATTTCAAAAGTTTTTTTTATGTAATTTTCAAGTGATTTTGAAGTAAATTTTGAGCTCTCTTGAAGTGTACGAGTTTTTGACAACTTTCCTCAACAGCCACTGCTTCTAGGGTATTGGAGGAGATATAACAAAAAAAAAACCGAATCTGCTAAAAAAAACACGTGTTTAAAATTTTAAATGGGAAATGCCGCCAGATGACTTCACAAGGCGGTACATTTTCTCTCTTTAAAATCTATTTTCCTACAATTTCCCATGAACGATAAACATTTTGAAGACAGCTCATTTATCAATCTCATTTCAAGCAATAACATTTTTTTTTTTCGTGCAACTTCTCCAACTACTAACTAATAGTAACGGCATGAGGCTCCCGAAAACACTCGGGTAGGCAACAAATCATGCAGGTGTTAAACAGGTGTTCAGCCATTTTGAGAAACGAGCGAACGGACCAATCCGCTAGCGACTCTAGCGAGCTATCGCGAAGCTGTCATACTTTCCCAAACAAACAAAACAAAAGAGATGCCTACCTATACCTAACCAGTTGGCAAGTGAAATTTCGGTCGAGTGAACGTGTACTACCCCGGCTCTTTTAATTATTGTTGGCACTTTCAAAACTTGATTATGATCGTTGTACATAAGTAATTGCTCTGTCGCGACGGATTATTCGAATATTTCATAATTAAATAATCAAGTGTCGAGTGTTAAGTGTGTTCTGTTCAAGTTTCGGTCACCTAGTGAATTGCACTGTGCACACCCTCGAGATATAATCTTTTAGTGAAGTGTTACTCACCTGTTCATTTCAGTCTTCAGAGGATTACAAGAACTCTATGGATTTACATCACTACCAGTCGTATTGGTTTAAATCAGGAGTGAGTTTTATTTCCTTGTCTCCTCAATGTTTCTTTTTCTATACTGGTTATTTTTCTTGGGGTTTTCACTCCAATCGGAGACCCAGGTGGAGGAAAGGCACATCTCGGTTACTGTGTCTCTTTCAGAACCTCTGCTAACGTTTCTTTCTTCATACACAAAGCAAATGTATGTAATTCTTTGAAACCTTCATAGAATATCCTCTGTGATTTCATAATGCCCTACACAAAAAGTTTCAGAGAATTCACCTTGTAATTTCCTCTCTAATCTACAGAATAGCGTGGGGGATTCTGAAACACCCCAACAGATAGTGCCCTTCCTGTACCAACTCCTCAATTTACATTGATTATTTTTACTGTGCCTCAATGGTTTTTGCCTCCCTAAGTATGCATTTGTTTGAAACTCTTGCATTGAAAATTCTCCAACCTTATATATCTGAGATGTGTGTTCCAAATTTCTTGTGGTCCTGCGGAATGAAAGTTATAGACTCCCACTGAACTGGTGGATGAAAATTCAGACCTCAACTGTCAGACTCAGTTCTCCTTTAGATGGTCTTATACTAGCATTATCAGTATGCATTGGCTATCCATTCAAAATGATTGGTTAAATGTGTAATGTAGGGACTTGAAGGATTAGGCGCATATGTGCAGGTTTTTAAACATTGAGATATTCATGATATCAGCTAAAAGTAAGCTTAAGTAAAAATTCACAACCAAAATCCAATTCTTAAGCATGAAAAAGTAAATTTGAACTTTTTTTTCGCTATTGAGTTCCATTTAATTTTGAAACATGTTTTTCTTCCTAGGTATAGAAAAATCTTCATTCTTGCGCCTTGTCCTCCGAGCCTCTCAATTAATGATCAAGCTGCAGCACTATGGACATGAAGTACTATAACTGCTCTGCCGTGCTGAGGAAAAACGCCGTATGAACATTCGAGAGTTACCAAATTTCCTTCAATAAAATGTTTATTTTTGAGGACAGATATGAATATTTTTCCTTGAAATTTTCAAAGACATAAGGTGAAATAGCGAACAAAATTATCGGATAAATTGGTAGGAAAATATTCATAAGTTTACCCGAAAATTCATGCTTTATCAAAGGAAATGTGGCAATGCCTGAAGGTACGTATGGCACTTTTCCTTAGCACGGCAGCGCTCATCAGCTCTCTGTGTGAGACCAGCAATCAGTTCTGTAGAATTTACTGGTCATTCCAAGTTCAAAATTTGAAATAAAATGAAAAATGAAACTTCGGGGGGATATTTGGTTTTATGCAATGTTGAGCTATCAATATTTTGTCTCGTGAACGCCTAAATATGCAGCATATCTCTCAAGTGACGCTCAGTCAGTAATCAGAAAATAGTTTTACCACTAGTTAAGTAAGCCGTTAGTGGCTATTCCCCTCTAATAACAGAACATATGTCTAACTAATAGAAAATATGCTGTTAAATATTGAGTTGTAGGTATAGTAAAGTGTCGCTAACTTTGCAAGGATTTTAATCATCTCCCTAGGTGAATGGTTGTGCTCTTTTAAGTAGTAGGTGCCTGAGCAAGTAGGGTAAATCAAAAATTCTAAAACCTTTTTTTTTCATTTATTTAATTAATATCTAACAGTGGATAATTTGCAGATGTCTGAAACTTGATTAATTTTAAGTTTGAATGGGAACTGCTAAGTGAACTGAGCACAATGGTATCATTGTAGTATCAAGGAGATATGACAACATGTCTTAATCTGCTGAAATGAATATGTTTAAATCATAAGTGCTGCCTGATGGCGTCATGAGGCGGTATATTTTCTCAGTTCAATTAATGGCAGGATTGGAAGACAAGTATGATTAGTGCAGTTTTTGAAAAAATTGAGGTATACTTAGTAGATCACTGCTGAAATCAGTCTTAAAACGTATTCTATGAAAAATTCACCTCTAAAATCACATTTTTCAGCATCAAAAAGTGAGTTTAAACTTTTCTTTTCCCCATAGGGATCCATGTAATGTTGAACCTTCAAACAAGTATTTTTTGAAGTAACAAAAACTGCACTTTCCATTAGCCTACCAAGCCCCTCAAATCTATTTTTCTGCAGTTTCCCTCGTGAGATCATCAAAAAATATTGGAGACTCAGCTCATTGAGCACTCTTACAAGAAGCGAAAACAATTTTTTCGTGGAAATGGAGAATTTGCATGCAAATGTGTTATTGCTTCATCTGAAAGTGCTTAAACAGCCGATTTCGCAATATTTTTTATAATTTTTTTCCGATATTAGAAATAGTATAAAAATAGATTTAAAAGTGAGAAGATGCACCGCCTAGTGACGTCATCTGGAGGCATTTCCCATTTAAACACACGTATTTTAGCAGATTAGATAATTTTATCATATCCTCTCCAAATATTGTTCAATTCATGCACCAAGGGTATCCTATTGTCCAGTCCTCTCAGTAGATTCCACTTGAACACGAAATTCATCAAAGAGACACCTGGAAATTCTCTATTCTCCATTGTGCTCCCGTGGAAACTCGGAAGTGTCCCTAGGTTTTCCGCTTGAATGAATTGAGGCATTCCTTGGGTCGTCCTTGAAAAGTCCTTGATTGGGTCTCGGCCGACGAATGGGAATCGGGCAACGTCGGAGCTCGCGGATCCGCGATAGTCGGTCCGATGAACCACGATGAACCGGTTCCAGGTCGGAGCCGCGGTCGCCGCGCCGGCAGCTTAGCTCTTCCATTGATTTGCTGAAAAAGTCGAGCCGGGATCGGATCCGAGAAACCGGTTGAATGATGTATGGGTCATCCCGCTAGTCAGCGATCACCGCTCCGAAGTGGCCCCGACTCGAATTTGTCACTCGCCGACCACGGTCGGCATCACCATTTTTTCACAATAAATCAATTTATTTTTTCCAATAAGATCACTTGATTTTGTGAAATCAGTCGATTCGATTTTGAGATCCGAACATAAAAATCCATTTTACCGAAATCCAAAGGTCGGGTACTTCTACTTGTTTTTAACATTTCGGACAGGGGTGCAAAATCTATCCGACAGGCTTGCTACAGTCAGGGAGAACCGGGAAAACTGGGAATTGTCAAGGAATTTTAAAAAGTCAGAGAAAAGCGGGAAATGTCAGGGAAAATTTGTTAAATGACCTTCATTTGCTTTCTAGAATGGGTTTGAGGTTTCGAAAAACTTTTGCCTGAAAACTATTTTCAATGATGCCTTCTTAACCATCCATCACATCTTCAATTGTCAGGAAATTTCGCCAAAATGTGTCCGGGAAATGTCAGGGAATTTCATTTTCTAATTTCTGCGGCAACCCTGAAACTATACTTGAAAAATGCCGATGATTTATAGATCTTTTCGACTTTTTGGGAGGCATTTCTGGCAAATTTTCAGAAGTGAAGAGAGAGGGGGTTAAAGAAAGGTCATCGCTTGGGAAAATTTGGGAAAGCGAGGAAAAAAACCCGGATAAAGTGAACATTCATCCAACTTTGCTGCTTATGCGTTAAAGTCTCTGAATTAGCCGAAAAGAGTTCACGCCATGTTCTCCTTCATTTTGTGGGTATGCAATTTTATCTTCTTGGAAGTTAAAATAGTTGTATCACGCATCCCGCCCCATCCAACTTCTCTACTCATGCGTTTTAGTCTCCGAGTCAGCCAAAAAGAGGCCGAGTTCTTTTTCACTGTCGGGGATTGCCGAGAAAGTTTTGTTGCTTCATAACTGGACCGCGTTAGGCAGAAAAGGAACCAAGCCACTTCAGCTTCAGCCAAAAACTGGGCACTTTAATTTTTTACACAAGAACGTTTTTACGGATTCCTTTGAAAATTTAAAGGAATTTGCTTTGCACTTAGCACAACTGTTTTCAAGTAAAAAATGAAATCGTCCAATCATATTTGGCAATAGCTGACGTGACTTGATACCTTTCTGCGGTTCTGCCTAACGCGGTCCAATTGTTACCGGATCTGTGAAAAGGGACCTCATCGTCCGGAAGAAAATTACCAAAACTTTGAACAGGGTTGCCACAGCCAGGGAAAACCGGCAAATGTCAGGGAAAATGACAGGGAAAATTTTTTAAATCACCTTCATTTACTTTCTAGAATGAGTTTCAGGTTTCGAACATCAAATTTTGCCTGAAAGCAATTTTCAATTTTGTCTTCTTAATCATCTATCAATATCTCCAATAATTGTGAGTGAATCCCACCAAAAAAGTGTCAAGGAAATCAGGGAAGTGTTGGGGAATTTCATTTTCCAAATTCTGTGGTGGCAACCCTGTTTGCATTTGATCGCGAGAAGCGCGAAATCACGGATATGAACGATATTTGCTTCCTCGCCTGTACTGCCATACTAAGGAGAAACGCCGTATGAACCTTCAGGCGTCGCCAAAATTTCTTCGATAAAACTTGAATTCCCTGGTAAACTCATGCATATTTCTCTTCCAATTTTTCAGAGAATATTCTTCGTATTTTGATCTAAAGTTCCTGAAAATTTCAAGGAAAAATATTCATGATTTTCCTCATAAATAAACATTTGATCGGTGAAAATTTGGCAGCTCTCGAATGTTCATACGGCGTTCTCCCTGAAGGCCTAAATGCACACGGCGATTAATCGCCGCGATTGAAAGACGAAAGCCAACGGAGAGCCTGGATTTCGATCCATTGACCATCCATCTGGATTTTGATCCATTGATCCTGGATTTCGATGTATCGAAATCCAGGCTCTCCGGTGGCTTTCGTCTTTCAATTGCGGCGATTAGTCGCCGTGTGTATTTAGGTCTTTAGCATGGGAGTGTAGGTTGTAGAACCCAAGCCGTTGTAAAACGAACTAGATACGGGGAACGTTGAAGGGTTAGCGGCCTTGACCAGCCTAGCCCTATCCCACATGACGTGAACACACGGCCTCCATCAGAGGTTGTGCACCTGTTCCCCTGTTCTCCCGAATCCCTAACCTCGGCCGCCTCCGCCTCGGTCCCCTGGAACACGGAAGTGTAGCATTATGCTTGGCTGCTCTCCCCTTCCGTGTCCG